GAGAGAGAGAGAGAGAGAGAGAGAGAGAGAGAGAGAGAGAGAGAATTTCAATATTTATTTTTCGGTTTTTTGGCAGACACAACATCTTTGTTTGTACGTGGTGCTGAGGATCGAACCAGAGCCGCACGCATGCCAGGCGAGCGCGCTACCACTTGAGCCACATCCCCAGCCCAGAACATTATTTTTTGAATTGAGGACTTTAAAGTAGAACAAATGAAGTAAAAATATTACTATGCTTTTCCTAATTCTAGATACATAAATGCAATGAAAAAAATGTAAACCAAATTAAATGCAAGTTGGAAAGGAGAGCTTCATATAAATAATTGGTGGTAGAGATGTTTAGTTTCCTGCTACAATTCCAATCCAGAATTAGTTTCTAAAATAAAATGCATGGAAAATCTTCTCACTTGAATCTAAATGCAGCAAATATGAACTAGATATTTAGTTCCTTGTAACTTTCTATAAAAGTTCCACAACTGTTTTGCATAGATTATATTAGGGATTCCTGTGTGAGTGTGCCAGACAAATTCAGAGAAAGGCATCTTGGTGTTTGCTTTCTTCTGTTCTAAGCAAATTCAACATTTTACTTGAATTATTATGCAAAGTAAATATCTATAAATTAGTATTGAAAGAGAAAAATATTAAGTTAAAAATAATAGAAAGGCAATCTGAAAACCTATTTAAGACATTTCCCCTACACCATAACAATGGTATAAAACATTAACATGACGCTTGATAGGATCCACAATAAAATAAGAAAATGTCTGTTCATGGTTCTTTGTTGAAGGGTAGCACACACCAGTAGAATCCTAAAAAAGAAAAACCTAAATTATTTAGTATACAATTACATTTAAATGATAATCAACATATTTTAATATTATATATTTTTTGTTAAAGCAACATGAAACATACATACATCCTTGACAATAAACTGGCAGTTAACTCATATTTTAAAATGTTGACCACATAATCTATTATGCTAGATGTATGTCTGTATTAAACATACATGCCTAATTCTTGTTCTTAAAGAATCTATAGTTCAAAGGGGAATTCCATCATATTTTAAAAAGTGCTTTTAATATGCTAATATACAAAATTTTCTATTTAGCAGTTTTCTCCTATCTATATATATATTTTTCAAACTTGATCTCTATGTGCCACATATTTCTTTTATGTTGTGCCCTAGTCCAGCATACAATATACAGTAAATACAATAAATATTTAATAAATATTAGCTAAGTGATTGAATGAAGATACTTAGAAACTGCTTTATGTGTAATATCTTTTGTATGATACTAAAATTCAAGTATTAGATTCTGTAATATAAAGACATTTATGGTACTCATTTATTTGCGGTACTCTTATTTATCTCTGTTCTTCTCCATTAAGTTACAGATTTAGCTCTATAATTAGTAGAGAAAATTAGATACAGATAATAGGAAGCATAGAAATAAGTTCAAAGTATTCTCCAAACAAAATCATACCTTATATCAACTTTTGACAAAACACTAAATACCACCCTTTTTTCACCTAGTCATAAATGTCCTAACTAACACACCATTTGTAGCAAGTCTATTAACAAGAAGTAACTAAATTATTTGGTTGTAAATTTTTGCTCAATACTTACATAGGCTGTGACTTTAAAGATAGAAGAAGTAATTTGTATTTTCTTGGTTTGAGGATGCTTTCGAACACTAGACAAGAAAAAAGATACATTTAAAATATATAACAAGCTTACTTAAAAATAAAATTTAATTAAGATTAAAAACAAAACCACATAGATAGCCTACAGTGACAAACAGCATCATAAGGATGTGGGCCAAAGTAAAAGGCCAAATCGTGGAGTAGGTGGGATATAATGGCTTGTAGGAGTACAGGAAATTGTGCATGGACTTGCAGGGCTCTGGATGCCAAGTAGGCAGTATAAAGTTTTGGGAAGCATACTCAGATCAAGAAATAGCCTTGAACTTTGAATTTGAGACATCAGTGATTGAAGTCAAACCACTAATTTAAATCTCTTCTAGGTAAATGAAGAAAGAACAAAAACTTCATGCAAATACATATTTGGATATATACTAGATGCATCTTGATTTCATGTTAAAAGAGTGATTTTTAAAATCAGATTATATGGCATTATCTCCAATTGAAAGGACCTAACAGAATCAATTGTCTTGGATTCCAGACTGCAACTATGAGTTTACACAGAAACTTGATACTTAGGAAATAGATAAGGTGTTCTGATTATGCAGGTAAATAGGCCAAAAAGAAAACTTGGCTTTGACTATTTGACAATAGAGCTAATAAAGACATCTTAAAGCCATTAAAATTATATGTATTATGTATAAAATAAGGATTTTTATATTGCACTTTAATGATCCCTTTTGTTATTTAGGTATTATTTTGTTTTCAAATAGAACATGAAAATATAAAATATCCAACTAAAGTGGTTCGAAAAGGTTGGCATCTGACGCTTCATCCAAGAATGAACAAGTTCAACTAAATTGAAATAATAGAAAACCAAATTTTACAATTAGGTGCGTGGTCAGTCTGAGATTCAGATGGTGAAATGACTACACCAGGTCACATAAACAATTATTGGATAAACAGGGATTTGTAAAAGTCAGATTGAAGTGTAGATAGCTGTAAGGGATAGATAAAAACATGCGAAAGAATTAAACAACCTAAATACAAATGCCAGTGGTACCACTGAACTGTTATTTCACTTTGGACAAGATTAACCTCTCTGAAACTCAATTTTCTCAGATGTAAGCTGGACATATTATGGTTTCTTTTAGGATAAAAGAATTAAATGATATACATGAAGATAATTAATATAAAATAATATATATGAAAACTTTATATGTTTATCTTCATGAAATATATGAATATAATATGTATAAAATAATATATATGAAAACTATATTATGAAAACTTTGTTAAATCTATTGCTAAATTATATCATATAAAAATAATTTTCTCTTGGTAGCTCTCAGTTACTCTCCCTGAAGATTACCTGTGGCAATATGAAGAGAGGAAACAAACTAGGGATTGAGGAAATAAACAACAGACATACATTTTATGTTGTCAACATACAGTATTCATACATATTTAAAATGCCTTAAAGTTTGCAAAATATTATTTAAAGGTCACATAATTTAGGCATTATTTTGCCAACTTTACAGACAGCAGAAGTAGAAAAGTTAAATGAAATGTTTAAGAAAATCCAACTATAAGCGACATTTCTGGGAACAAAATCCAGATGACTGGGAGATCCATTCCCTCTCTTCTATACATCTGCTGTTTATCCCATACCTATATACCCTCTAAATACATATGAATCAAAGGTATTATTCATATGTAATATGAGTAGGTAAAATTTAAAGGAAGATCCCCCTTTGCCTACATTACCAGGTGAAAATATTGCTGTCTACTACATATGTAAAAATAATGGGAACAGAGAGGGGACAAGCAGGAAGAATGTAGACTGTGTGGAAGGGGTGTGTGTATGTGTGAATCTGCAAAGGCCTATAGTTGACCAGCCCCAGCCATTTTAGGGTTCCTGATTCCTAGGTAGTTTTCATCTCTACGAGATATTTCTTTCATAGTTAAACCCAGGACTCATATGATTAAACTGATTTCCAAATATTTCTATAAATTGGGTCAAGGTAATTTTATTTTTCTAATGCCTAAGCTATACTACAAGATGAAGATGGCATTTAAAAATCTGTGCTTATCCAAGGATGACCATAACCACCATATATAAATATTCATATATACCCATAGCTAGGTGGCTAGCTCAAAATAAAGAACATATGCATAGTTATATCTAAATCAAAACAATATGGGGGTGGTATATGGTATAATCATGTATAAAATTTATTGAGTTATATGTATACTTATGATTTATTTTTATACATATTATTATTATACATATTATTACTATATGTAAATTGTCTCCATAAATATATTATTTAAAAAATAAACTACCACTTGCACATTACTAGAAGTTGATTCCTAACAGAAATAAATCATATTATTCTATTTTATTTCTTATGCTAATTATATCTAAGAATTTCTAAATTAATTTTAAAAAAGTAAATTCAGTATTACCTGTTATATATCTCTAAGGGAAAAAAAGGAAATGTAAAATAATAATCATTAGTGTCTTAACTGTTTTACTAATAATTAACGTTATATCACATCTTTGGGCTTCACTAACTCCCTCGTTAGATAATCATAAGTTCCTTTTTTTTTTTTGTGATGCTAACAATCAAACCCAGGGCCTTGTGCATACTAGCCAAGCTTAAAATTATATTCAACATTTATAGCTATATCTATATATGTATATGTAGATATAGATATATTAATCATATTAATGGTTTGGAACATCATTTGTGATAATTTCTGAGAATTTGTCTTATACTGACTCTAAACTTTAGGGTAAAAAGACTATATTGTAAGCAACACTACTCATTTTAAATAACAGGAAGCCCACTGCTTAACTAGCATCTGAAAGCCATAATCTCAGTTCAAATAATAAAATTTTATCTGGGAAGAATAATTGACTTGGGAGAACTCTCTCAAAACTTTGGTAAAAACATGTATTTAGGGGCTAGAATTGTGGCTCAGTGGTAGAGTACTTGCCTAGCATTCATGAGGCACTGGGTTCAATCCTCAGGTTCACATAAAAAATAATAAGTAAAATAAAGGCATTGTATCCATCTAACAAAACTAAAGCAATAACGACAACAACAAACATGTATATATTTGAAATAATTACTTGCTTATTAAATAAAATGGTTCTTAAGTATTACCTACTTGATTTAAAGAAACAATAACCTTCAAAAAGAAAGCATTTTTCAAAACACTTAAAAGACGTATTTTATAGGATCTGTGATAATAGATGAGGAAAAAAGTATTTAAAAAATATTTTATTCAGGCTGGGATTGTGGCTCAGTGACAGAGAGCTTGCCTTGCATATGAAGCACTGGGACTGATCCTCAGCACCACATAAAAAATAAATAAATAAATAAATACAAGAATTGTGTCCATTTACAACTAAAAAAAAGATTTTTTTCTTTTGTTTGATTCAGAATTCCTAAAAATCACGCTTCATAGTGTGCCCTTGACTTCCATAAACAAAGAATGGATTTTGCTGGAATACTTTATTTATAATGTTTATCTGCAAGGGCAGATTAGATCCTGTAAAGCAGTTGCTGCATGTTTCATTAGAAAGCTAGCAGAGGTCTTTCTAATGTATGCAAAACACCCAAAATTCTAATAAATAAATGGGGAAAAATACTTCTTTGTTAAATTAGCTTGGTCAGATGACTTGGTTGGATATGTGGCTCAGAATTCTGAAAAAGTACTAAAGATATTTCAAGTCCCACCTTACATATTCCTTGATGACTACTATATCCATCCACTTTATCACTACCAATAGATGACAGGCCTTAATAAAATAACACAGCATTTGACCAAAACCAGCTTGACCAATATGAGGAAAGATGTATTTTATAGTACATATAGTATTTTATAGTACATATAGTGCATGTGAAAAACAAACTTTTAAGGGACTCAGATCAATTATCTAGTCAACTGCTTTGTACTGGTACCTAAATCATCTTTTTTAAAAAAATATTTTTATATGTAGATGGATGCAATACCTTTATTTATTTATTTTTGTGTGGTGCTGAGAATTGAACCCAGTGCCTCAGGGGTAGGCAAGTGTCCTACCAATGAGCTACAAACCCAGCCCCTAAATCATCTTAAATAAGTAAATATTTAAACATAATTTTCTACTGAAGTGCTTTGAGAAGACCATTTCATTTCTCCTTGTTCAGCAAAGAAATTCGTAAGTATGTTTAAACTTGCACCATTAGGAGAAATATTTAATGGTTCTCAAAAGCACTGCTCCACTTGGGCCAGTCTCTTTCCTAATCTCCTCTAGAATGACAGACTTGTTATGTATCTATCACCTTTAAACTGGCAACAGAATGGTCCTCATAGACTTCATTCCATCAAGACTTCCCTGATGGCTCATACCCATACAATATCCTCTTTTGAACTTCTGGGCTATTACTTACAGTATAAAAAGTAGCAAACATTTGCCTATAAATAACTGAACACACTTGGGGCTGGGGATGTGGCTCAAGCGGTAGCACGCTTGCTTGGCATGCATGCGGCCCAGGTTCGATCCTCAGTACCATATACAAACAAAAATGTTGTCTGCCGAAAACTAAAAAATAAATATTAAAAAATTCTCTCTCTCTTTTTAAAAAAATAAATAAATAAATAAATAAATAACTGAACACTTGATTACATAAATAATTTTACTTTATAAAGATTTTAAACAATTCCTTTACTATTATATGTAGTTTATTGCAATTTCTTAAGGAAAGGACTATTTTGTTGTTCCTCTTGTAGCCTGTTTAGAGCCTAGTAGAGTTCTGTGAATAATACTGATACTTGCTGATTACCTGATTAAATGATTCTACACTTACTTTTCTTGTAAGATGTCATGAATTTTGACTGCTCACTTTATGAGTGGTCATTACTCTTTTCTAGTCATACTTTTTCTTAGCACCCCCAAAATGTAGACGAGAATTACAAGTAAGAATTCAGGAATGGGAATGTTGGGAAAAAAGTAGTTTCTGCAGTGTTGAGGACCTAAAATTATATCTGTTTCAAGTATCTCCAACAGACCTTTGGTCTCCACAGCACAGGTAGTGAGGAATTCTACAAACTTCATACTGACAAAGGGATCCACCAAGGCACTACAATGGTAATGGGGTACTTTTTGTGTGAGCATGTTGAGGGTACACTAGGTAAAGACTTCTGGTCTTTAATAGTATCAGAAGTGGTCTACAAGTTTTATACAACTGTAAATTATTAGGACAGAAAATGTTTGATGTAGGCATGTATATACTTTTTCTGAAATTGTATTTCTAATGAATCTGTTTCAAAAATCTATGTAATGACACCTTTTCATTAAAATCAGATACAGATTATAGAAATATTTTTGTTTTTAACACCATATTAGAAATAAAAAAGTAAAATAAATCATGTAGTTATATATATATGACACAGGGACTAAATATAGGAATTAACTTGTTGAGTAAAGGAACAATTAAGAATCTGATAAAAGTTAATTCCGTTATTTTCCTAGTGAAGTAAAATTATGTACCTAAACTCTGGAACTCTCTGCTTCTCATTTGTATCCAACTTGTCTATAAAGATGATCTAATACCTTCATAATTGAGAAAACCCTAACAAAGAACATTTACTTAGTTAAAATAAGAATAAGAAATTTATAAAGTTTTAATCCTCATTCGATCTGCAGTAAAAGAGAGGGAAACAAAGAAAGTCTATTAGAATTTCTAAAACCAACTATACAGCTTTGGGATGAATTTGACAAGGTAAAGATGACACCTAAATGAAAATTCTTCTATTTCTTTAGAACAAAGGAAATAATTATTACCTATTAGTCAAGTAAACTCAAAATCCTGAGGGATCTTTTGTGTGCCTTTGTGATTTAAAAGGAGATGAGTCAGTGGGGGAAGCCTGGAAGATGGCAGTCCATAATAAGGGATAGAATGGGTGATTGGTCTAACTGAGAAAACAAACAAAAGAGATAGATGAGCAATGAGAGGACTTAGAATTAAAATAAAAAGAATTCTAGAAATCTTTCTAACTTGGAAAAAGGGGAGGTGGTTACAAGAGTGGGTGAGGTAGTGCTGTTTCTACACACTCTGGTGATTAATATAATGATAAGGAGGTGATCCCATCATGATTACTTTTCTTTCTTTTTTCGAGACAGGGGTCTTACTTTGTTGTTCAGACTGTCCTCAATTCCTGGATTCAAGTGATCCTCCCACTTCAGCCTCCTAAGTAGCTGGGACTATAATAATGTACCACCAAGTCTGGCTCCTACCATGGTAAACAAACCATTTGCTGTATTAACTAGAGATTTATGTATTGTGATCTAGCAACTTTACCTCACCAGATCCTTATAGATAAGTTTTGTTGTTTCCAGGTATGGTTTAAGCACATCTTCATACTGACAAAGGGATCCACCAAGGCAAAGATGTTTAAAAAGACAAAACAGGAACTCTTCTCTGTCTGGTTGCCTGAATACTTCATATTTTTCAGAGTCTTCCACTAGCAAAACCTAAGATGATAAATTAATACTAATGTAATATAACCCAGGATTTTAATTTTTAAGTTTTTAAACATATCAATTTACATATTTAAAGATAATCTTATTTATTTTTTGGTGCTGGGGCTCAAACCCAGGGCTTCACTCATGCTAGGCAAGCACTCTGACTACTGAGCTACACAACTCTGGTCCAATATTAAACTTACTTTAAGAACCAATCCTGAGGCAATTGGAGAGAATATATTTGTGATCTGCACTTATTTTGCCTCCATTTTTTCATGAGGTCCTAATATTGGATTAAAGGAATAAATGAAATTTTAAAAAATAGCAGCCAAGTCTTCCTTTATTCTAATTTTTATTTTTAGTAATTATTTTAGTGCTATAGTATTTTTGGTGTTAAGTCACTTCAAATCTTATTAGGAAATAAACTAAAGTATAAATGAGAAAACTGCTCCATTCCATAAAGTGTTTCACCTTTGTTTTTATCCAGAGGCTAAACATTAATGGTCATTTTCTAAGCATTCTCACATTATTTGTTTGCTTTTAGAGATGGGTTCTTGCTATGGTACCCAGGCTGATTTTTAACTCAAGGGTTCATGTGATTCTTTGGCCTTAGCCTCTTGAGTAGCTGGGATTAGTGTCTGGCTCACTACTTTCTTTATATCCCCAGCAGGTTCTCCAATTTTGAGCCTGTCAGGTGTTGGAGCTTCATATCCACCTTTCCTTTTCCCGGTCCCTCTAATAAGATTACTTTTTACACATCATACCTGTACATTGACTCTTAATCTCCTGAGACCTTGCTACCTCTTTCAGAAAACAATTTGACTAGGTCTGATATCAAGGATTTTTTTTTATATCATTGAGCATTACAGAAAACATGCATTTACTGACTATAGGTGATGAATGTAAGCTATAAAAGAAGGTGAAAATTGTAAGTAAATAACACATTTTAATTGTTTATATCCAACCTACTTTTAAGAAGAATGTGAAATACCTAACAAGAAAACATCGATACAGCTGGGTGTGGTGGCACATGTCTGTAATCCCAGCTACTTAGGAGACTGAAGCCAGAGGATCACAAGTTTGAGGTTAACCTGGGCAACTTAGCAAGACCCTGTTTTAAAATAAAATAAAAGAAAGAGGCTGGAGATAATGCTCAGAGGTAGATTACTTTCCTAGCATGCAAGGGGCCCTAGGCTCAATCCCCAGTATTGCATCAAAATAAACAAAACAAAAAAAAATTTAAACATAAATACAATAAGACCAACGTAATGAAAGACAAAAATTTGTTTTAAAAAAACCTCAAAAAAGTGGGACAAAAACTCTTTTATATATAAAGAACTCTAGTGGATAAAGCTTTAAAAATCATGTATAATATTTAACACTATAACAAAATACGATGAGTTATATAAGAATAACTGTCTAGTAGCAAGAATTACATTTAATTAAGATAATTAATTAAGCTTATTTACAACCTCTAAGGAAAACACAAGGTCATCGTGTAAGAGCTATTTAAAGAATAATAAACTCTATGGTGTTGTCCATATACAGTTTATTTATAATGACTGATGAAAGTCAAGGTTATGTATAATAAAAGGGAAGGGGAAGTAATTCATGGTTTATTGTCTCTGGGCATGCTACATGTAACACTTATACTTTTCCACTTCCTAACTTACTCCTTTTTTCCTTCCCTATAAATAAATGATGTAATATTAAAGCTTTTGTTTATAGTTACTTGAAGATCTGAGTACTAGGGTGAACAAAGCAATTAGGAGTTAACACATTCCCCCTCCACTACATTCTGGTGATTGAATCTAGGAGTACTGTGCCACTGAGCTATATTCCAACCCCTTTTTATTTCATTTTGAGACAAGTTCCCACTAAGTTGTCCAGACTGGCTTGGAACTTGCAATCCTCCTGTTTTGACCTTCCAAGTTGTTGACATTACAAGTATGTGCCACTGCACCTAGTAATTAATAAATGTTTATAATGAGCACTGTTATACACTGTACTGATTAGACTGCATAATTTTAAAATATGACAACTAAAAAATTTTGGAATGAATATTAAAAACATTATATGACTGTTCTCTCTTCCATTTATATACAGTTTTCTGGCTGTACAGCCCTGAGATGGCAGATACGCAATGGTTAACATTGCATATCTGAGTCATAGTCAGGAAAGAGGCTATTATTAGTGCTTACATTACAGTGTGCCAATAGAATATGTATAGTCGCACAATGTGTGTGGAGGAACTTTTTAATTCAAGCTAAAACTGGAAATAATAATTATTATATTATTACTAATAATTATTAATACACTATTATTATAATTATCATTATTTTCTGCCAGAAAGTAACCAATTAAAAGACCTTCCTTTGAGCTGGGGATATAGCTCAGTTGGTAGAGTGCTTGCCTCACATGCACAAGGCCCCAGCACTACCAAAAAAACCCAACTTCTCTATTGCCGTGGAGTGGCAAAGAACATAAAAGCAAAATACATAGGGAATTTGCAAGAAAATACTGAGTTCTAGCACTTTAAGAATAAGGGTGCTTGACATTCCTGGCAATAAATATGACAGATAGCAGGCAGTTTTGCAGATTATTACACTGGAAAAACAAATCCTCCTTTAAGAGTTCATTCATTGATGAGGTCCTTTTAATTTCAGGTAAATTCTCTGAAATTAGAGGTAAGGATTTTATGCCAGAATGGAATGATGGAAGAGGGAAGAAGGGAGAAAGAGAGCTGAGATTATCAGTATTCAAAAGGAGGAAACTCAAACCAAACATTTCCTAAATGGTAATTTCCAGTTCTTAGTAAAGTAGAAATTAATGTCAATCCCCATTGTATTTATTTCACATTAGATATAAGCATACTTCATTTCAATAAGTTAATCTAATTTCCTTCTTAAGCTAAGTTAAAAGGTTTTTTTAGGTGCATTCTAGTGTAGATTAATGTATAGTTGGGCTGGATACCTCTCTTTCCCCTACAGCGAAGATTTCTGTGTTCAGAATTGTAAATTAGCAGCTGCCCTAGTTCATCCAATCTGGATTTGTAATATATTAGATTTGTATAATCTCCCTTTTCTCTGTTTCTAAAATTTTTTTTTAGTTGTCAATGGACCTTTATTTTTTGTTTATTTATATGTAGTGCTGAGAATTGAACCCAGCCTCACACATGCTATGCAAGTGTTCTACCACTGAGCTACAAACCCAGCTCCCTCCCTTTCCTCTTAATGGAGAATAGTAGTAGTTGTTGCTAATATAACAAGTTTACTAAGTGCCAGGTATAGTGCTAAGCACTTTATGTGTATTATCTCACATAATTCTGACATTATGCTTATTTTACAGAGGAAAAGAAATCTTAGACTAAATATCATGATAATTAAGTGGCAGAGCCTGGTATGCACTGATGTCTAGGTTCAATTATTACAATATTACACATATTATATATATTTTATAATGTTAATACATTTCACTTTAACAGCATTTCATACTTTCTAAAAAAGTACATTTAAGTATTTCCTCAATTCATTTTTCAATGCTTTTAAGAAGAAAGTGTTTCTGTGTTATAGATTGAATGATTTGCCTGAGGTTATTATAGTGTAAATAATAAATCAGGAATTAAATAATACATGTATTTGATTCCATGTTCAGTGTACCTCTCACTAAAACAAAATTTAATTTAGTTTATCAAATGAGTTTGATACTCATTTTGATACTCAACCCAACCACATTGAGTTGATCTTAGCAATAAGAGAGAAAGAAGTTTTTACTCAGGATTTATTTTTATTTTTTATTTTATTTTTTGGCAGTATTGGGGGTAGAACTCAGGGGGAACTCTTTCTCTGAGCTACAGCCCTACCCTTTTCTATTTTTTTTTTTTTTTGAGACAGGGTCTTGATAAATTATCCATGTTGGCTTCAAAAAACCTACAATTCTCCTGCCCTAGCCTTCTGAGTCTCTGGGATTACAGGTGTGTACCACTGCATCCAGCACTACAGGCACATATTTGATATTTGTTTGATAGGCCAAGAGCCTCAAACTAAGCACACTTTTTTTTTTTATGTGACACAGGGTTCTTACATAACTTTAATATCAGAAAAATAGCTATTAATTAAATAGGCAAGTTTCTCTATCTCTTCATTGTTGACATGTTGGGCCAGATAACTTTTTTGTGTGTGGAATTTTGAGGAACTGTGCTGTGAGTTATATTTAGCAGCATCCCTACTCATCAGATATCAATAGCATCCTGTAGAGAGCTACTGAAAAATATAAAAATAAGTACATCGATAGTAAAAGTGCTATCCAAGAATAAATGTATCAATCTAATGATTATTACTGATCATTTTTATTAACAAGAAGTACTTTATGGGCTTTAAGCAGGCAATAGTTTTTGACATTTTGCATTTCTTTTTTTTTTTTTTTAAAGAAAGAGGAGAGAGAGAGAGAGAGAGAGAGAGAGAGAGAGAGAGAGAGAACGAGAACTTTCTTTTCGATATTTATTTTTCAGTTTTTGGAGGACACAACATCTTTGTTTGTATGTGGTGCTGAGGATCGAACCCGGGCCGCACGCATGCCAGGCGAGCGCGCTACCGATTGAGCCACATCTCCAGCCCAACATTTTGCATTTCTTGAAATAAGATTTCAATGTGAAATTTAAAAATTCTATACTTACTTTTCGTAACTCATCAGAAATGAGAAATGGATCACAAAAAGAATCTAAACACTTAACAATATGACCATTGTCTCGTACAATATCTTCATCATATAACCGATTAAAAAATGACATTGAAAGCTGTGTGCAAGGAACATTTATAGCTTCAATTTTTTTCACTTCAGTTCCTGGAAAAAATATTTTAAAAAGAGATAGATAAGTTAATTTAATATTTTCAGTTCTAAAATAAATCACAATTCAGAGACCTAAGAAATAACCAAATATGACATTTTGATATACGTTGCATGAAAATGTTTTGGTCAATGATGGCTATATACAATATGGTGGTTCATAAGATTCTAATGGAGCTAAAAAATTCCTACTGCATTGTGATGTTGTAGATGTCTTTAACATCATAGTGCAACGCATAACTCACATTTGTGGTGATGCTGGTGCAAGCAAACCTACTACACTGCCAGTCATATAATAGAATAACATACAATTATGTACAATACATAATACTTGATAATGTCAATACATGACTACGTTCTGGTTTACATATTTACTGTATTATACTTTCTATCATTATTTTAGAGTGTATGCCTTCTATTTATTAAAAAAAAGGTGAACATAAAATGTGCTGTCTTAAGCTAGAAGTAGCTTCATACATCTCATGTTTATTGCATCTCTTGATTATAGCAAGAGGTCACATTGAAAAAATTGACCCATACCATCTAGATTTGTGTAAATACACTTTTATAATGTTCATATTACTAAAGATGAATTTCTCAGAATATATTCCATTGTCTAACAACATATAGCTGTACTTAAAAGACATATTAGTTTGGGGATTTTATTAAATTCTTATTTTGCAGCTTATTTGTTTTTAATTAATCATTCAAACATTGTAACAAAATCTTACCATTTCAGGACTAGAGGAGCTAAATTGGAGAATACTTGAAAACTAAGCACACTTTTTTTTATGTGACACAGGGTTCTTACATTACTTTCAATATCAGAATTGCCTATAAAAGTGGAGGAACTGCTGAGCATGGTGGCGCACACCTGTAATCCTAGAGGCTTGGGATTCTGAGACAGGAGGATCACAAGTTCAAGGCCAGTATTACAAAAAAGAAACAAAAACAAAAAACAAAGAAACTTCTTTATGTGATCTTTGGATTTGCATCATGCTCAATGTTTTATAATCTGTACCACAAAATTTTAGTTAATGGATCTTGAAAACATTTTCTCATTTAAAATTTTCTCCTTTGTGATTTCATTTATAGTGTTTATTACAAAAACGTTTCCAAGCCAAAGTAAATTTCAAAGCAGGTTTAGTTAAATTATCACAAGTTCAGAATTATAGAAATTTGAAAAAATGGCATTTTGTCTATTTTTCTTTTATTTAGCTTTAGTTTTTCTCCTTTCTACCTCTTCCCCAATCCCACACGTATTTCCTGAAGGTACTTTCAGGAATGGATTTTCAATTACTAAAGTTTCCATTAAATTACAGAAAGGCACAAATTAAAATGAATGTTTTTATGATTATATCAAATAATTATTCCCCCTCTCTTTTATGTACACACATACACACACATTTACTCAGATATAAAAGGATGGTATTCATTTGTTCAATGTTTTAAGGAGCTTATAGACCTAGGTGTGGTGGCCCTTGGCGTATCCTCTTCCTGGATACTTTTGCTAAACCTCTGACCTGAAAAGTAGTGTGTGCTAAGAGTAATTAAAACTGGCAGTTGTTTGCACTTCCTATTTCGGCTGTCCACCTAAAGTCATGCTAGGACCTGTTGCTGTAGGTTATGAACGTTAACTAGGCTAGTGTGGAGACAAGAAGGATGCCTGGAGCCAGGAACTATGTATGCCTCAGTAATTGCAAAAGCTATGATGCCAAGAGAAGCTCCTTTTGTTTCAGAGGCAAAATCCTCTTGGGGATAGATAAATTTAAAAGAACATAGAGAATGATAAATTAGTTCTGAGTATTGTTGAAAGATTAAAGACAAGAGCAGTATACAGCAGATCAGTTTCAAAAGATTGGTTGGTGGCCACAGGATGAGGGACCTATGACACTGGGACACATGCCATTTTAATAAATCTACCTCAGCTCTGATTTGGGGGGTGGCAGGAAGGTTTGGTTAGTAAGAAATGGTAATTAAATTCAAATCACTTAAACTGAGGCATGAAAATAGCATTTGCTATTGACTGGGTTATATGCCTTAAAAATTTACATGTTGCTCCTCAGATACATTAGTATTCAGAACATACAAAGAACTCAAAAAATTTAACACCAAAATCAAATAACCTAAACAATAAATGGGCAAAAAAACCAAACAGACATTTCTCAAAAGAAGAATATAATGGTCAAAAAATATATGAAAAAATGTTTAACATCTTTAGCAATTAGGGAAATGCAAATTAAAATGACATTGAGATTTCATCTCTAGTCAGAATGACAAATGATAATAAATGTTGGTGAGGCTGTGTGAGGAAAAAGGTACACTCATACAATGTCAGTAGGACTGCAAATTAGTTGCAAGCACTCTGGAAAGCAGTATGATGATTCCTTAAAAAACTAAGAATGGAACCCCCATATCCCACTTCTCAGTATATAACCAAAAGATCTAAAATCAGCATTATATGGTGACACAGCCAAATCAATGTTTATAGCAGCACAATTCACAATAGTCAAATTATGGGACAAACTTAGGTGCCCTTTGAACAGATATAGAAAATGTGAAAACACACACACACACACATATAAAATGGATAAATAAATATATATATATAAAGATATATATATAATAAAGATATATATTCTATATACACACACACATATATATACATATACATACATATGCATACATATGGACTCCCTATACTCCCTACACACAATGGAGTATTACTCAGCCATAAAGAAGAATGACATTATGGCATTTGCTGGTAAATAGACAGAACTAGAGATTATGCTACGTGAAATAAGCCAGCCCTCAAAAGTCAAAGGTTGAATGTTTACTCTGATATGTGGATACTAATCCAAAATAAGGGGAAGGGGGGATAAAAAAACAGAAAAATGATCAATGGAGTAGATGAAAGGGATTGAAGGGGAAGGAGGAAGAAGGATAAGGAAAAAACAGTGGAATTAATCTGACCCAATTTTCCTATGTACATACATGAATATACCACAGTGAATCTCACTATTGTGTATATCCACAAGACACTAATTTAAAAATATATATATAACTAAAGCGCAAAAAGATCAGTAGAGGGAAGGGAACAGGGAGTGAGAGGAGGGGAGAAAGTTAAGTAAGGGGTACTAAATTAGAATCAATTCTATGCTTTTATAATTCTGTCAAAATGAATTCAAATGTTATGTATAACAAGAACCAATAAAAAGAAGACATTAAAAAATAAAAATAATGAATTTGCATGTTGAAACCCTAATTTCCAATGTGATAACATTTGGAGATGGGGCATTTGGGAAGTAATTAAGGACAGATGATGCCATGGGAGGTCAAGGGGCTTCTAAATATGAATTTATACAACACAGTTCAGTCAATAGCATTTCACTCTTAGTTACCCAAAGCCATTACTTACTGTTCTCACATGCAAAGTATATTCATTCCATTCCAACAGCTCCCCAGAATTTAATTTACTCAATCATCAATTCTGAAGTCTAAAGTTCAAAGTGTCATCTAAGTTGGATATGGGTGAGATTGAGGTATCATTCACCCTGAGGCAAAATTTCTCTCTAGCTATAAACTTGTGAAATCAAACACATTATGTGCTTCTAAAATGCATTGATTGGATGGACATGGGACAGTCACTTCATTTTGGCAGTGGGAGAGGGAGAAATGGGAAATTAAGGAATGGGTGATAGGTGCCAAGCAAGCCCATAATTTAGCAAGGCAAATTCCTTTAGATCTTAAGGCTCAAAATAATCCTTTTTTGCTCTATACTCTGCCTTCTGAACCCACAGATATGATGGTCTCAACTCTGCCTGGGTGGAGGCAAAGCCCTCAGGCACCAGGTGGCCCAATTCCTAAGGTTTTACTGGGTCAGCTTGGCTCTGCAGGGTGGCACTGAATTTGAGACTTTGGTTGGAGGCTGTGGGGTCTGTTGAAATGGAAGTGGTGGCCCTAATGATCTCTGAATTGCTTTTGGAGTCTTCCCTTTTCTTGAAGACCAGTTCATATTTGCAGTCAAATAGTGGAGTCCTATAGGATCTAAGAGGTCCAACACCCTTCATTCATTTCAGCTTGCTTTTTTTTTGACCTCTTTAGCTCAAACTAGCAGTGTCTTCACTGGTACAATTCCATCTCTATTCCTGGTTTCTGAAATCTCCTCAGGTAAATTTCTGATTTTATCACTTGCAAGTTCTACCGTCCATAAAGCACTTGAACACAGTTCAGCCAAACTATTTGTCACATTATAACAAAGAGTACCTTTCTTCCAGTTTCCAATATAATGTTCCTCATTTCCTTCAGAGCTGTCACTAGAATTGACTTTAACATTCACATTTCTAGCATGTACTTAAAAATTCTTCGAGCCTCTACCAAGAGGCTTCCCAAGCCACTCTATACTTTTAGCTATTTGTTATGGTAGCACCATATTTCTTAATGATATATTAATTATATTATAGATTAATATATTAATCTATTCTAGAATCTGGGAAATCCAAGATCAAGGTGCAAATGATTTGGTTCCTGACTTGCAGATGGTTGATTTCACACAGCATAGAGAGCATTCTAGTGTTTTTTCTTATTATGAGGGAACTAATTCCATAAAAAAGGTCCCATACTCATGCCTTCATCTAAACCTAAATTCCTCCTAAAGGTCCCATTTCTAAATACTATCAAAATGAGAGTTTAGAGTTTACACATATGAATTTGGAGTGGGGGCATAACTCAGTCGATAGCACATGCTAACTTGTTATGTAGTAATTTTATAAAATTTTATCTTCAACATTTATAAGATATGTATCGCTTTGACCACATAAAATTAAAATGCATTTTTTCCACTAATAGTAGCATTATAAGATGCTAGATGCTTCCTTTTTATTTGATGTCTTAAGTTAATACTTTTCTGGCAGCCCTATAAACATGGAAGTGAGAGAAGTGAAAGAGTTTAGGGAGTCAAGGTCTTAAATTCAGGAACCTGGATTTGAATCTCAACTATATCCAGCCAGCATATAAAACTGCACAGATAATTTAGCTTTGGCTCTCATTCATTCATAAATTACAAATGTATAATAATCTCTGTGTTAAAAGAAGTAATGTGTATGCCTTTAGCATCCATTATATGTTATCTAAAAAAAGCAAAGTATGTCTAAACCATGGGTCTATGCTTTTGAGATGATGGAGCACAAATAACAGGCAACGTGGGCAGTGCAGCTGGTAGTAAAGGAGGGTCCATCATCATTTTCTCTGGAATTGGTTCACCTGCTAGAATAATACCTCTTATTTCAAAACAATTTTTTTTTTTTGCATATAAAGGCCTCCAGAGGAACATTCAAGGGAAGATGTCCAATACACAAGGAAAAGAACAAGAAAAGTTAAAGATTCTTAAAAAAAAAAAAAAAAAAAGCTGATGGAAGAGGACTAGCAATCTACCAGAATTGCTTCTAAAATGGAATACTACTCTTTTGTCCTATTTTTCAGAGTACTTCTAATTGATCCTGTTAGGCACATGTGGAATTTTAGAACTTATCTTTTTGCAATGCCTTATTAAAAAATCAGAAAAAGTTGGTGCTGTTTTGTGAAGTGTGTAGCAATATAGGGAAGGTTGAACACTTACCTTCAGTAAACCTTATTTTTTTCAAATGGATTGACTGAAACTACTGTAATACATGGCTCTGATTATTCCTTTTTGAAAAATTTGAAGCATTAAATATATTTGCTCAGATATTCATTTCAATTTTGTAAGTAGTCTAAAGATCATTCATACCAGTTTTCTGCTCTATAAATTTTGCAGTAGTCTTTAGCCAAAGCAATAAAGTTTGACCTGTTAAGTCTAATATCATGAACAATTTGTAGTCTTCTTCTTAAAATACTTTAAGAAAAATTACTTTTGTGTGACCACTACTAGAATTCCATGAAAATACAGTTGTAGGATAGTTTACCAAAAGTCCCCCATGCCCAAACAAAATAACTAATTTAAAATCAATTTGCATATTGAGTATAATCACATTGCCAGATTCTCCTAAATGTAATGATGCTTTTACTTGTTCTAGTGTTGAAACCTCAAACTTAAATTTAAAATATAGTATTCAAAGTAAGCCAAATTTAGAAAGTCAAGGATTGGATGTTTTCTCTCATATTGGATGCTAGAGAGGAAAAGGGGAAAGAAAGGTGGGGACGGGGATATCATGAAAACTGAAGGGAGATTGATGGAGTAGAAGAAAGGGAACGGAGCAAGAGAGGAGGGAAGGGAAAAGGGAAATATTGGGGAATAAGATTGGCAAAATTATACTCTTATATTATGTGCATATACAAATATGTAATAATAAATCCTACCATTATGTGCAACTATAATGCACCAATAAAATATGAAAAAAATAAATTTAAATGATTAAAAAAACAAAATAGAACAGATTTTAAATGTCTTTGTCACAAAGAAATGATAAGTATTTAAGGTGATGCATATGCTAATTACCTTGATTTGATCATCATATAATGTACACATATATTGAAACATCATGATTTATCCTATAAATATGTATAATTATGTCAATTAAAAATAAAAAAACTTGTGCTGAGTTTGCAGCTCAGTAGTAGAACAATGGCTATCACACATGAGGCACTGGGTTCACTCCTCAGCACCACATATAAATAAAATAAAGGTATTGTGTCTACTTACAACTAAAAAAAGTATTTAAAAATAAAAAATAAAAGAAAAGTCTTCTAAAAACATAAAAATCAAGAAAATCTAGTGTTCATGTTTTGCTTCCAAAACAGTCTTATTAACACTGATTTCTTTCTTGACCCATTTAAGAGATTTAAATGAGTGTTGTTAAGTAATTAAATATTTGGGTAACTTTCTTTAAAAATTCCTACCTGGGGGCTGGGGTTGTGGCTTAGTGGTAGAGTGCTTGCCTAGCATGCGTGAGGCACTGGGTTCAATTCTCAGCACCACATAAAAATAAAAGTAAACTAAAAATATATATATATATTTAGTTTACTTTTATTTTTAGCTATATTTCAATGTATTATGACAATATTATTTATATAAATTTATTTTGAGATTTTAAGACACTTCTCCACAACTTAATATATTATTTTTTAAAAAAAACATTCTATGGTAGCTGATTCCTCTTCAGAAATCCATGCCCCCATCAGAATGGAAATTTTTGCCTAAGCATCCTCATATTAGTCTATCTTTTCTGATCCTTTCCCTCTGGGTAGAAGTGACCACTCCTCACCTCATGCTCCCATTTTTATGGTAGAACATATAATATATTATTACACACACCACACACACACACTCTCTCTCTCTCTCTCTCTCTCACACACACACACACACACACACACACACACACACACACACACACTTCAACAAGTTCCTCGAATACAGGTTTTCTTTCATCCACTTTATGCTCCCTGCATCTAGCAGAGTACATAGGAGGTGCACAATAAATACTTTTAAAAATACATACTTTTAAAAATCAATAAAAAGGAAAATTACTCTTAGGTTCTGAACCAGGACAATATCAATAGACTACTGGGAGAGATGCAGAGCAGGCCTGGTATGACTGGTCAAACTTAATTTTTTTTTTTTTCCTGTACCAGGGATTGAACCCACGGGTGCTTTACTACTGAGCTATATCCCAACACTATTTATTTTTAACTTTGCGACAAGGTCTTGCTAAGTTGCTTAGAACCTCACTAAGTTGCTGAGGCTGGCTTTGAACCTGAGATCCTCCTGCCTCAGCCTCACAAATTGCTGGGATTACAGAAATGCACTTCTGAATCCACTACTTGTAATCTTCCTGTCTCAGCCTCCCAAGTAGCTGGGATTACAGGGGTGCATCACCACACCTGGCTCAAAATTTGTATTTTAATAATGAAAATTTTGGGGGCAAAATTTTGTTATAATAGCAAAATAGTCACCTGGAAAGATGAAATTTTATTTACCTAATGTAATCCACTGTCCAGAAGAATCTGAAAGTAACTGCAAATTTGGAATAACATTTGGGTCTTTGAAAAAAGCCTAAAATACAAGTTAGAGAAGAATATGTTACATATTTTATTATAAATAATAATAAAATCAACTTCTAAAATTACATTAGTAAAATCTAAACTAGGAAGGACCCTTTCATATTGGTAAAGAAGTTTTATTACATTCAAACTGGAACAGTGTAAACAGCAATGTGTCTCTAAGTACAGATAAATTTGGGGAATTAATAAATGAAAAATGGTGTATAGTAAAAATTAGGAGAGAATATTATATATTATCTGAAAACTTTATTTTCTTCCTATCTTATTTTCTGAATTAATCTTCTTAATAACCATTAATACACTGGATCTAAATCTAAAACTAACCACCCACCAATCTGTCTATCTAAGGGAGCACATAGCAAAGTGACAGGTTTGACTTGCTATAAACAAATTTTCTATCTGACAAAAGGCAACATAATGGGCTGGAGATTTAGCTCAATAGTAGAGCACTTGCCTAGCATGTGTAAGGCCCTGAGTTCAATCCCCAGAACCACAAAAATAAATAAATAAATTAATTAATTAATAAATAAATAAATTTAAAAAGGCAACATAGTAGTCAATCAACAATTTTATTATCAAGTACTAGCAGCTGACTCTGGCTGAAAGGTAGAAGACAAATGAAAAGCATCTCAGGCAATCTACAAAACTTCAGACTTCAGTTTACACATTTGGAATAATATAAAATCACATGAAGAATTTCTCTGATGAGGAAACTGTCACCTTTGTTGCAGCAGCCTCATAAAGCACTAGAGAAAGCTATTACCACTTCTATTTCCTAACTCTGCTTGGTGTGTTTATAAATCAAGTGTATTTATATCAGCCATAGACACTATTACTACTTGTTTCTAACCAAGCCACTGCTGTGATGCCTCTGCCACCACTTTTGTCAGTGAAATGGATTCTGTGTGCATCTTAAGTTGTTCATTTCAAAATCACAGTCTTGAAATGATCACTCTGGTTGGTAACCTAGGTACCTTGCGCTTAATGTTCATCTCCCCCACCCTCCTTCCCTGTGTTGGAGATTGAACTCAAGGTTTCACACATGCCAATTACTCATTCTATTGCTTATGTAACTAGCCCTAGGTCTTGTGTTCTAAATGTAAGGGAGAAGATCCTTGCAATTTTGTGGGGGAGGAGGGCAGGAGAGAGTTCCACTTGGACTTCCAAAACGCAAAGGGTAGAAATTACCCCCAAATCACAAGGCTATTCAAAAGTGCTGGGCAGCCAGAAAAATATATCAGTGATGAGCAATTTAATCAAAGAAAAACAACAGACTGAGAGAAAATATTTCCAACAAATATGATAACAACGAGGGGGAGCTAATTCTCAATATTTTTTTAAAAAGCTCAAAATTTGTAAGAAAAACTTACAACCTGATTTAAAGCTGTTCAAAGAATAAAAACAGGTGTATAAAAAGAGTGGTAAGGTTATTTTTTTTTCCCCTTTGTTTTGTTTTTTCAGTGCTGGGCATTGAACCCTGGGCCTTGTGCATGCTAGGCAAGTTCTCACCCTCTGAGTCATAACCCTAAGTCCTGAGACTGGTAACTTTTGGCAAGAGTAGTAGAAAATATGCATTCTTACAAGCTGCTGTAAGTGTAAATCTTTACAACCTTTTGGGAAAGTAACATTATTATCTTGAATAATAAAAACGTGAGTTAATTATGATCCTGCAAACTCTTACTTTTGGGTTTTGAAACCACTAGCAGGCATATTTATGTATAAATCTTCTTTTTTGTAGAATTGTTTGTGGGGTCAAAATCTGGAAACCACTTCAATGTCCATCAATAGAAGCATGGTTGAATAAAATATACCAGACAGAATCCAGCTACTAGAAAAAAGCACTAAAACAAATTGTAAGCTTCCTAAGTAGTGAAACTTGCTTTTCTCATTCATTGCTATATCTGTTGTGCTTAGAATGGCCTGACATAAAGTAGTTACTCAATAAATTTTTCCTAAATGGGTATTATGATTTTAAGGGAAAAAATCATAAATATTTAAAATCTCCCCGATAATAAAAGGTAGTTAAGAGTAATGTGTATGATGCTCTACACATCTATATGTACATAAAGAAAAATATGGAAGAATATATACAAACCTTTTAGATGAGGTGGTTATAGATTTGTGGAAGAAGATGGTTAAGGGGATGGAAGTTAATTTTAGATTGGGATAGAGAAATATCATTTTTTCCTATGAATTGTTCTTTATTGTTTAAATTGTTACAATAAAAATTGTTATAATAAATATTTTCCTGTTTTTAATATCCCCTTCAAGCAACCATTTTTCCTAAATAGTTTATTGAAGAAGCAATCTGTCTTACTTCTTTATCAACCACTCATTCCTCTTATCTTGCTCCTCATTTCCTTCATTTAACAAAAATATTCTTTACTTCCTAATTCTAAAATTCAATAGACATAATATGCCTACCCTCATGGAGTTTACAGACAAAAAAGGAAGACAGTAATGTGCTGTGAGTATTATTACAAAGGAATGCAAGCTATCCATGCTTGCAAAGGAGTGCTATCCATGTATTTATATAATAGGTAGTCCTAATCTAATGGTGTTGGAAAGAAAGGTTGGTGAAAAAAATAATTAGGTTTAGAACTAAAAGGTGAGTAGCAGTTAGCTGGGCAAGAGGTATTCTGGTAAATGTTTAACAATTGACCTCCCTTCCTCTCCCTAAAGCCCTGATTTGTAACATTTACCAGTTTTCATTGTGTATTTCAAGCTGCCAGCAGTTTAACAATCAGCAAACAAAGATTATTGAAAATTTAGCAATCTAGCTCTCCTGAACTGGTTCCAGCATGCTACTAGAAAGACTAGGTGGGGAAAACGTCAAGTTTAAAGGCTCTAAAATAAGAAAGGATGGGACATTCCAATGGTGGAAAACAAAGAGGTTTATTGTAACCATAATAGGAGCTGCAATGGTCAGATGAGTGTAGGAGTTAAACTGAACCTTGTAGTCAAGTGAAGAATTTTAATCTTGACCTAAAAACTATCTAAATCTTGGTCAGAATTTTGATCTAAAGGCAGTGGGAAGACACAAAAAAAATTGTTATCAGAGGACAGAGTGATTAAATCATATTTTTAAAAGTTCATTCTAGTTTCAGTTTGGACAATGAATTGAAGGGCTATAAAGAGACTATTCAGGAGTGAGATTCTGTTGGCAGAAGCATTGATGTTCATAGCAGTCAAGGTGCTAGCTAGTGGGAAATGGATGGATTTGTTATTTAGGGGGAAGGAGTTGGGGGGAGAGAAATCAAAGGTGATTCTTGAGATTATTTTGTGAAATAATTAGAATGAATGCCATGCCATAGAAAGATAATGATGAGAAGCCAGGCACTGTGTTGCAGACCTGTAATTTCCTACTTGGGAGGCTGAGGCAAAAAGATCACAAGTTTGAGGCCAGCCTGGGGAATTTAGGGAGAACCTATCTAAAAATAATAAAAAGGGTGTGGGTATAGTTCAGGGGTAGAGTGCTGGTCTAGCATATGTGGGGACCTGGGTTTAATCTCCAGTACCATTAAGGAGAAAGTGGGAGCAGGGGTTGGAGGATAGAGAAGGAGAGGGGGAGAGGAAAAGGGAAAGGGAAAAGGAGAAAATAAAGAGAATCAGGTGTGAGAGGTGTGAATTATTTAAGTCTACATGAAGCTAAACAAGAGGAAGTTTCTATTCTCATGGAATTTACATTCTATTGGTGGGAAGTAAAGAGGCCTGCACACCTATAATCCCAGCAACCCAAGAGATTGAGGCAGGAGGACCACAAGTTCAAGGCCAGCAACTTAGTAAGATCCTACTCAAAATAAAAATAAAAAGGTCTGGGGATATAGCTCAGTGGTAAAGCACCCCTGGGTTCAATCCTCAGTACCTTTTTTTTTAACTTAAAAAAAAGAAGGTATTATATTTGCCTGATTTATTTTTAAAAAAATCCTTAAAATTATTCCTTAAAAATTCTATCCTTATTGCTTTTTGAAGACTTTCAAATTGAAAGTATTTGTGCAACTACTTTAATTTACATAATAGTACATTTTGCAGAGGACACATGGCTGAAATTAATTTCAATTAACATTGGTTTTGGAGGAGCATTTTAAAAAAAGGTTTTTTTATAGTTCTGGGATTTGAACTCAGGGCCTCACACATGCTAGGCAAGAACTCTACTACTGAGATACATCCCCCGCTCTTAACATTGTTTTTTTTTTTTTTTTTTTTAAAGAGAGAGAATTTTAATATTTATTTTTTAGTTTTCGGCGGACACAACATCTTTGTTTTTATGTGGTGCTAAGGATCGAACCTGGGCCCCACGCATGCCAGGCAAGTGCGCTAACGCTTGAGCCACATCCCCAGCGCAACATTGGTTTTTGAATACCTTATAGGCCTTCTGAAAGAACTATTTTAAAAGAGAGAAATCTAGTTCAGATTCAGTCATTATTCCTGGGAGTTATTAACTTCAGATCACATTTTAGATGTCATAAATTGAATTAGACCAACTGCTCTGCAACAAGTTAACCTACAGCCAATGCAAATAAATTTTTATAAAGTCCCCTTAAATAAAGCAGTGCAAGTTGTATTACTGAAATTATAATTATACATCTAAAATGGTTTTTAAAAAATATTGTTCTTATATGTGTAAATTTTTGATTTGTTACAGAATTTCCAGTGAGGCATTAGAAAGGATTTTCTATGTCACAACTTTCAGAGAACTGATGAGATCTGGAAAAATATTAGATGATTCATAAATGAGTAAAAATAAAGATATTTAATAAAGGAATAAAGAAATTAATAACAAAGATATCAATGTCAAATATTCATTTTAAATAAATTTGTTTCATAATGTAATGTAAGATATTGACTACAATACTTATCTGGCTGGTTTCTAATTCAATATCAATCCTCTCTTCCTTAAATAATTCTGATTTTATTGGGGATAGCTATGTATTCAGTTAAATCTATTTCTTTGCCTCCCTGGGATTTGGTCATATACTTAAATTCTGGTCATAAGATGAAAGCACAAGGGTTGTGCAGCCATTTTGGAAAGCTCTGCAAATTAAAAGCCTTCTTTGCCAGTTGCTGTGCAAAATTTCCCTCATAATATCTAGTACGATAGTGAGGATGCCAATACTATATACTGAGGCTATAGCTCACTTGACGCCAAATTAGACATTGTACTCTACTACCTAGAATACTGCCACTTGGGTGCACCTCTTGTTGAACATCCCTAACACTAAACTTGTTTCCTTATTTAATCTATATTTCCTATGATTTAATAGCATCAATCAGCTTCTCCAGCCAACCAAGACCGAAACATGGGATTGATTCATCCTGTATGTCCCTCTTTCCCTTATTCTCAAGAACTTATTAGTCCTTTAACATTTCTCCTGAATAGCTCTCCTTCACCATTCAAATGTTAGTCTTAATTCAGGACATTACCATATATTGTTTAGAGGACAATGGTTCATTTTGTTTCCCTCTTTGTCTATTCTTTTGTACAGATGTAGGAACTAAAGAAGTTTGCTAGATATATATTTTCTTCCTTGAACCCATTTACTACCTTACAAATGAACTTTTAAAACATAACTTGTTTTTAAGTTGAAAGGGGAAATTCAAAATCTGGAATTCTTGTTTAAGCAATAACTTTTGTCCATTTAACAAGTCTGTGCAGTACAGAGTATGGCATTTAAAATAAAAATCTCTTTGCTGGGCATTCTCAGACAAATTACTTAACTTTTCTGACTTGTAGTTTTCTCAGCTATAAAATGGGGGTCAAAACAGCAATCTTGGGGTTGAAGTTGTAGCTCAATGGTAGAGTGCTTGCCTAGCATATTGGAGGCCCCGGGTTCAAACCTCAGCATCACATTAAAGGAAAAAAAAAAAAAACAAAAAAAAAACAGGGCTGGGTGGTGGCTCGGTGGCAGAGTGGTTGCCTCACACATGTGAGGCACTGGGTTCAACCCTCAGTACCACATAAAATAAAGATATAGAAAAAATTATTAAAAAACCCACCAATCTTACCACATTGTTGTAAAGATTAGTGATAAATGTGTTAAAAATGCTGGAAGCTAAATCTAGCACACAGGAATCACTACTGCTCTAGAAGAATTCCTTATAATTTATGAGGGACAAATGTTAGTAACAATAGTAACACTATATGCCAAGCGTTTTGGCTAAACATGTCATATGCCGCCTCATTTAATCTTCAGAACAGTCAATATAATTTCTATATTCAAAATACTTATTAAACACGTATTACACATGAAGCATTGTGATTATTTTGCAGAAAGGTAAATGGAGGTTTTTCAAGGAAGGTTATTAAGTAACTTGCCCAATGTCACATAGCTTATGAGTGGCAGAGTTGGAATTTGAACCCACAGCTAATTAAAAGACCAAATCAAGGGAGAATCCAAATTTTATAGAGCTTGGGGCTTTAAACAGTTTTATGAGCTCTAAGAATACAAAAACATCTTATTTTTGAAATATTTTAAAAAACATATGACCATGAACATACTGCTCGAGTCTCTCAGTATTTTGCAAGTGAAGAAGTTGGTCAATGAGAAGTACTAAAGACTCATTTGTTTCAAGCCACACAAGATTGTGCAAGCCTACAGTCCTAGGTACAAGAGAAGCTGAGACAGGAGAAGCAAGAGAGCCCTGGAATTTGAGAGTAGCCTGGGCAAAATAGTAAGACCCTGTCTGGGGGGGGAAGATGTATTAGCTTGGGGTAAATCCCCTCTGGGTCATACTCTTAGCCACATGTTTTATTTACATCCAAATTAGTTATTTGAATACAAATGAGTGTATATTTGTTTTTTGTTTTTTTTTTTTTTTTTTAATTTTTAATATTTATTTTTTAGTTCTCGGCGGACACAACATCTTTGTTTGTATGTGGTGCTGAGGATCGAACCCGGGCCGCACGCATGCCAGGCGAGCGCGCTACCGCCTGAGCCACATTCCCAGCCCCAGAGTGTATATTTGTTTGAACTAAAATCTAGGCATAACACTGTTCTGCCTCACGGGAATAAAAATAAGGATAAACAAACATGAAGAATTTCAAAATTAGAAAAAAATTGTTTGGAATTATGGAAATATGTTGTATTTTATGGATGAATCTGTTGAAAATCTCAATCTATTAAACAACCAAAAAAAAAAAATTCTATAACCTCCTCAATAAAATTTTCCCCCAAGTCAAAGCCCTTTTGTTGGGGTGATCTTTTTCTCTGTGTCTAGGACATCTTCTATGTCCTCCATCAATATAATTATTTGATTGTATAGAGATTTTTTGTGTTGTTGTTAATTTCTAGTTTCCCAAACTGTATATACATTGTAATCTGGGGTCAGGTCTCTTTACCTTTTTATCACACAGTAAGTATTAAACAAATGTGTGTGTGTGTGTGTGTGTGTGTGTGTGTGTGTGTGTATTTATTTATTTATTTATATTTGTACTGGGGATTAACTCCAGGGTAGCTTTACCACTGAGTTACATCCCCAAACTTTTTAATTTTTTGTTATTTTTGAGATAAGGTCTTGCTAAATTGTTGAGCCCAGCCTTAAACCTGTGATCCTCCTGCCTCAGCCTACCAAATCACAGATGGGCACTGCTACCCCAGACTCAACAAATATTTTTTTCCATATTTTTTATTGGTGCACTGTAGCTGTATATAGTGGTGGAATTTCAACAAATATTCCTTGAATAAATGAGTTAAATAAAAATTTTTATAGCACTCTAAAATTCAGATTAAAATTTTTTACCTTTTTCTAAAAAAAAGTTGAATGACAATAGTGGTTTAATTAAAAACTATAAAAAGTTATAAAAACCTAATCATGACTATTCATAAATGTCATTAATAGTAGCATTGTATTATAACATCATTATAACACTATTTTAGAGAAAGGGAAATAGACAACCAGTTTACCCTGTTAGGGGTTCAACAATATCCCCTCAAAATTTTTGTCCTTCCTGAAACTTTAGAAAAAGTGACCTTAGTTGAAAATAGGGTTGCTGTAGATGTTATTAGTGAAGATTATATTAGAGTAGGTGGGTTCTTAACTCAGTGTGAATGGTGTCCTTAGAAGAGAGGAGACACAGATACAAGAGGGGAGAGAGACATGTGACTTTGATAGAAGTGGAGTTTGAAGTGCCATGTCGTAAAGCAGAGAATGCCAAGGATTACTGGTAGCTATCAGAAAGTAGAAAGAGGCAAGGAAGTACTCCTATATAGGTTTCAGAAGAACCATAATTCTATCTGATCTCCGACTTCTAGCCTCCAGAACTCTGAGACCATCTGACCTAGTGTTTCCTCTTGTCCACTGCACTTATCACTGTAGGAAATGATCTAATTTTGTTTATTGGCAGTCTTTCCAAGGGTTCATAAGATCCTCAAAAGCTGGGCTCTTGCCTTGGTCCTCCTTTTATCCCTAGCACTTGAGGAAATTCCTAGTATACTCCAGGTCCTCAGAAAGTGTAAGAGCAAGTAAACGAACTATGCCAACTATAAAAGACTTTAGTTTATAGCTATTCAAAGGACATGAACAGCAAAGAATAAGGGTAATTTCACAAACCCTACCAATATTTTCCAATTGATTGAGGAGTGGAAAAAAAGATGGAAAATAATGGGACTAAATTTTAATAAGCACATCAAAACCTTACTGTTCTTTTTGTTTGATACTGAGGATTGACCCCAGGAGTGCTTTACTATTAAACCCCATTCCCAGCCCTTATTGTGGCTTGTGTCTGTAATCCCAGCTAATTGAGAGGCTGAGGTGGGAGGCCAGCCTAGGCTTCATAGCCAACCCCACCTATTATGTTAAAGGGCTGGGGATATGGCTCTGTGGTACAGCATTTGCCTGGCATGTCATGCCCTGGGTTGGATCTGCAGCATCACAAAAAATGAAAAATAAGGTAAAAACAGATGTATAATTAAAGTAGTCACCCCTAGGTAAAGTCTTATTCGAGTCACCGTGTCATTGCTCAAAACTTTTCTGGTAAATTCCTTATTTGGAACTGGTGTTAGGGCCTGAAACCCAGTTCTCAGGGTGGCTGCGATTTTGAGAAACGAGCAAAAATAATTAGGAGCTAAGCCTAGTAAATAAAGTCAACGATAAAGCTGAGTAGTAACATTAAGAAGCGAGGTGTGCCTACTAAAAAAACAAAATTCCCCAAATTGGAAAGGTTCTTTAAGGCAGGATCATGAAGGTAGAAAAAGAATAAGTTAAATTAAGAATAAATTTATGGTAGTGGGAAAAGTAAAAATTCCTCTAAAAATTGTCATTGACACCTTTTATTACTCCCCATCTCCAAGAAAATGACGTCACTAAGGAATGGCGGTGTTCTTAAGAATTCGTGCTGACATGCGGGCAAGTTAAAAATCAGCAGTGACCCAAGAACTCTGCGAACCCCATACCAACCATAACGAAATCATCCTTCCGATAGGCTTGAAAGGTCTGGTCAAACCCGAAGGCCTGGGCCTTGATTCTGCCCAGCATGGACCTGGAGCAGAGAGGATAAAAGAGTCAGCTTGGGACTGGCAAACTCTCAGGGCGCAAAATACACGGGTCCTACCCACAGTATCCACCCTGCCCTAGTTTACAGCTGCTTCAGAGTTTCTTTCACTCAGTATGAGGCCGACTCGGCTTAGACGCCCTCGACGCCCGGCCAGCATCTGGCCTGCGCTTCCTCCACAGCAGCGAAGGCCGAGGAGCTCTTGTTTCCCCGTTCCTCGGTCCCTCACCACTGGCGGAGCCGGCTGGTGATGTCTGGGGCGCTCAGAGATGGGAAGGTCTTCTGAGGCAGGAACCTGAAGTAGTAGCCACCCAAGTCCCCGGGTTCCCCAGCCGCCATCGTGCTAATGACTGCGTGAAAGGAGCCGTTTCCATAGAGACGCGGCGGCCGTCGGGGCGGGGCCACGGCGCAGGGGCGGGGCTACGCGTCTACCGAGAGCGCAGGCAGGTCCGCCGGGCGGGGCCAAAAGAGGAGGAAAAACAGCTTGGTTTTCCAAGCAGTTTGCTCCGGGATTGCGACCCGCACCCTTCTTGAACCCCAGGCTTATCGGTTATGGAAACTGGGGGGTCGAGGATAGAGCAACACTCTCGATAGATGCTTGTTGACCTTACTTCATTTTTTTTTTTTTTTTATACTGGGGATCATACTCAGGGACTCTAGACCTTGAGCCACGTGTCCAGCCCTATTGTGTATTTTATTTAGAAACAGGGTCTCACTGAGTTGCTTAGCGCCTCACTTTTGCTGAGGCTGGCTTTGAACTTGCGATCCTTCTGTCTTAGCTTCCCAAGCCGCTGGGGTTACAGGCATGTGCTCCCCGGCCTGGATGACATTACCTCTTAATAATTACTCAGCACAGGTTAATGTCCTACTCTCAAACACTACAATCTCAGATTTACAATTATCTAAGTTTGATGACTCAAAAGTTAATGAAAAAATTCCGTATTCATTAGATTTACTATTTTGTAAGATAAATGTCTATGTGACTACTGTATCTAGTACTACTGATACTATCTGCCTCTCTCTCTTTTTCTTATATCTGAAAGGCTAAAATATGTTTCCGTATATACGCTGCACTACAACATTCTGATTAATAAGAGTCACAGTATTTGTTTTCTACTGAAAATTTCCTTTTGTATAGTTTTGGGGTTTGTTTTTGTTTTGTTTTTTTGCTTGTTTGTTTTGGTCTAGTAGTGGTTCATTGGGGAACTCTTTTTTTTACCTCTTTACTTCCTCTCCTTTCTTCCCTGTTCCTTTAGAACTGATCTTGAGGGGCAGGAGCCATAGCTCAGTGTTAGAACTAGCATGCACAAGGCCCTGGATTTGATCCCAAGCACCTAGAGGAAAACAACCTTATCTTGATTATTTCTTAGCAGCAGCAGCAGCAGCAACAGGAGACAGTGGTTGGGGGAGGGTAAAGAAACACAGAGAATCCTTCTGTTTTCTTCTTTAGCATTCCAACTCATTTCCATACCACAGTTTAGCCTTTTGGTTTATTTCCAGTTCGAGATTATTAGGAAAGCTGCTATGAACTTTCGTATGTATATTTCTCTTTTTTTGTGTGTCTCCTCCCCACTCCTCAGTATGTCCTTTAATGACTTGCATACTTACTTCTTTTACAAATATATCCAGGATTGGAATTGCTCAGTTATACAATATAAACATGTTTTACTAGACACTGACAATTTTTCCCCCCCAAATAATCAGTTTACACTCCAAATGGCAGTACATGAGATTTCCAGTGGTTCAACATTCTTGCCAAAGTCAGTCTTAAAATTTAATCTATTCTGGAGAGGTTGTATTAATTTCCCATTGTGATTTGTAATTTGCTTTTCCTTGATAGCTAATGTTTTGAGCAACTTTATTTTATAGACTTATTGGCCATTTGGATATCTTCTCTGGTGAAGTACTTCTTCAAGTGTTTTGTCCAGGCTGTCAGTCTTTCTCTTATTAATTTTTATGAAGTTTTTAATAGTCTGGGTGTGAGTTCATTGCCAGATATATATATTGCAAATATTTTCTCTGCCTGTATTTTGTGTATAGCTTTGGTGCTCAGAAATTCTTAATTTTAATGAAGTATAATTTATTACCTTTTTCTTTTGTGTGTCAAGTTTAATTTCTGCTTAAACAAAGTCATGAGTATAGTTTCATATTTATGTCCACAATCCATCTAAAAATAATTTTCTTTAAACTCAAGGTTATTTTCCATATTGGTTTCCAGTTGGCCCAGCCTATATATTGGTAAAACCATTTATAACCCACTGAATTGCATGGGTTTTCCATTTATATTTTAGTTTATTTTTTCTGGTTCTGGAGGTTAAACCCAGAGGCACTCTACCTCTAAGCTACATACCCAGCCCTTTTTATTTTTATTTTGAAATAGGGTATCATTAAATTGCTGAGGCTGGCCTCAAACTTGTGATCTTTTTGCCTCAGCCTCCCAAGTAGCTAGGATTTCAGGTGTAGGACACTAGGCCCAGATTTATTATTTTTAAATAAATCAAGTGACTTTTTCTGGGCAGTTTGTCCATTGGACTGTCCTTGCATCAATATTGCATTGTTTTAAGTACTGTAGCTTTATAAAAAGACCTAATATCTGAGGATGTGAAGCATCTAGCTTTGTTATTTTTTCTTCAAAATTGCATATTTTGGAGGGGCTGGGATTGTAGCTCAGTGGTAGAGCACTTACCTAGCACGTGTGAGGCACTGGGTTCGATTCTCAGCACCACATATAAATAAATAAAAATTAATCAACAACTAAAAAAAAATTAAAAATTGCATATTGTGGAGAGCAGGCACAAACTGATAAATGAACTGTGCTAATAAGAATGCCCTTCCGTGAATTTATCAAATTAATCAGAAGGACATGGATGAGTGGGTGTATCAAAGTCAAATTGTAAAAACCAGGCCCACAAGCTTATTGAACATACCAGACCATCAAATGATGGAACCCTCTCACTTGAGACCCATAAAAGAAGGGGCACCCTGAGATGGACATGGCAGTACCTTGACCCTGTCACCTGGTCACTTGTCATGAGCCTTGCCCAGGAAAATCACCATAGCAATGAACCTTCAAATCTCTGTCCTTGGGTTTTAGCAGAGTGCAGTTTCTTCTGCTCATGATGACTATTCAAATCCCAATCCAAGCTGACATTTCAAGCTGACTGTGAAACTGCCATCTGTTTGGATCTTGGTCTAGAATGAGTTCTTGTGCTTTGACATCTCTGTGCCCTGAAAAAGTTGTTTTACTGGTTCATAATCTTATCTGACCACCTACAGTGATTCTTTGCATTCATATCTGCTCTCTGCCTTTGCTCTTAGTTCAATCTCCTGAACTCCTGTGACCTGGCCAGCTTAACCCTTTCTTAATCTTTCTGAAACCTGTATATAATTGTGTATAAAGTGTGATTTGTGGATGTGTGATTTGAGTGTTACAGATATTAGAAATTAAGATTGAAGGGGCTGAGGCTGTAGCTCAGTGGTAAGTGCTTGCCTCACGTGTATGAGGCACTGGGTTCAATCTTCAACACCATATAAAAACAAATAAAGATACTTTGTGTTAATTCACAGTTAAATAAATATTTTTTTAAAAAGATTGGAATATGATTGCCATGATTGCTTTGCTTATGACTACCAAATGACCAACAAGTATTCAGTGGACTACCGCTGATAAAAAGAGGATAGCCTGTGACTTTATTGTTATTCAATAAATTCTGATATTGTGGAGAGACAGAAACATATTTAGTGTATGTTAATGACATAGCACATTCATAACCATATGTTATTACCTTTGCATTTTCATATAAGTCTTAAACAGATTTTATCATTTTCCATGAAAGAAATTGGACAGAATTTTGATAGGAATTGCATTGACATATTATATAAGTAAATTCTGGGGAGTACTCAACATTGTAACAATATTGAATCTTCCAATCTATTATAAATAAGATATTTCTTCATTTAGCTCTTTAATTTCTATCAACCATAACTTAGGAGTATTCAGTAGAAGAGTCTCGGCATCTTTCTGATTTTATTTTGTGTTACTTTAACAAAATAGCTGAAACTGGGTATGTTATAAGTAAAGAGGCCTATTTGGCTCATGATTCTGGTGCTGGAAGATTCAAACCATACGATACCAGAGTCCTATATGACACCAGATGGCTACCTCCTTTGACTGCATCATAACATAGTGGAGAAGCAGCATGGGAAGTGACCATATGCAGAAGACCATGCGGGGTGAACTTGTTTTATAAAGCCCACTCTTGTGAGAAATAATTAACTCATATGAGACCCAAGCTACTCTCCCAGCATCAATTCATTCATGTAGGTGGAGCCCCTATTATATAATTAGTTTTCACTAGGCACTGTGTCTTAAAGGTCCTACCACTTCAGCACCACCACACTGTGGGTCTAGCTTTCAGCACATGAATCACTGGGGGACAAACCATATGCAAACCATAACAACAACTTCCATTAGATCAATGGTTCTCAACCATGTTTGAGTTTGTTTTCCTAGAGGACGTGAAGCAATGTCTGGCAATATGTTTAACTCTCCAAAATGGTGTGGGGAAATGCTATGGGCATCTAGGGGGTAGAGACCAGAAATCCTGTTAAATAAACATTCTACAATGCATGGGACAGGCCTCCATGACAAGATTTGGCCCACATCTTGGGTTATGTCTATAGTCCCAGTTATTTTGGAGGGTGACCCTCAGCAGTTTGAGGCAGCCTGGACAACATAACAAGGACTTATTTCAAAATAGAAAAGAAAATAAATCTGGTTTAGAATGTTAATAGTAACAAGGTTGAAGATATATTCCTATGTATTTGTTGAGTTTTGGGGGTGCTAGTGTAAATGATACTTTTACACTTTTTATTTTCTACTTCTTCATTCTAATATATATATATATGTATATGTATATATACATATACATATTTATATATAAAATTTAGAAATTTATAAAATTTATTTTATATGCTGATCTTTATCTATAGAGCTTACTAAGTCATCTTATTTCTTATGGGTTATTGATAGATACTTTTAGAATTTCTATATACATAATTATGGTATCTGATCATAAGAACACATTTTACTTCTTTCTTTTCAATATTTGTGCCTCCTCTACCTCCACCTCCTTTGTTTTTGAGTACAGACTATGACTTCCAGGGTGTTAAATAGAAGTGGTAGTAGGGGACTTTCTTGCCTTATTTATAACTTCATAACAACAACAACAACAACAAAAATTGTGTTTCTATGTGTGTGTACATGTTTTAGCCATCAAATAGGGCATAAACTGTAGGTATTTTAATTGATACCAATATTGAGAAAATTGCCTTCATTTTTTTGAGATTTAAGAAATTATGAATAGGCATCGAAGTT